ATAATGTAAACTATATTAATTAAACATAACTAAACATAAAAATATAGCTTGCCTTTTCATTGAATGGTAAAAAGCTTATAGGCAATGTAATACAAACAACCGAAAGAAAACGTACATAATAAGATAATAAGTGCATGAAGCATTATCCTCCCAATCCTTCTCCATTCAAGATTTGATGTCTTTCCCTCATCAAAATAGTAAATGGCTCTCATATCCATACCACAACATCATAATCACATCATCACGGTAATCTAACAGACATATCGAGTCAATGCAACAACACCCTTGACTGTCAAATCTAATTTAAACCCTAAATCATATTCTAACTGTGCATTGGCATAGTGCCTTGATCATTGACACTTAAAATCATCCTTTGACAATCACCCTTGACTGTCATATGATCATTTGATTTATCTCCTGACAATCGTCAAATGATTGTTAGTGATATGATCATTGCAAAGTTAAAATTCCTTCAATCATTGATCTCTATGGATCAATTCAAAACCTAAATCAAAATCAAGCCATAATTCCATCAGTTGATTGTCCTCCGTGATAATCAGCTAATCTCTTGTTCAATCATTGATGATCATAAATAATTGTCAATGATCTGAGCATTTCAAATTTTAAATCCTTACAAGCTATTGTCTAAATAAAATTTAAATCCAATCCAGTGATTAAAAGGTAATTATCTTCATTGTAGTTTAAGACTAAGTTTGGGATGGCTTTCTTACTATTTCTTAAAGCAAAACTACTTTAAGAAGCAATAAGAAAGCCGTCCCAAACAAAGCCTTAAACTACAATGAAGATAAATACCTTCTAACTATTGTGTCAAATCAATGTGTGTGTGCTAGCTCCTTATGGCGTGTTTGGTTGAAATCCAAGTTAGCCTAAACAAAGTTTATGAAAAATATAATTATAACTATAATTTAAATTTAACAATAATTAAATTTGATTCTAATGAATCTTTAAAGTAACTTAATTATTATTAGAGATAAGATTAAATGATAAAACATAAAGCTCATCATCCATCTTTCTGATCACCAATGCAAAATTCTAATATATATACCTATCTAACTTCTAACTTTTTATACTTATTTATAAAACAGTGTGAGGAACCCTTTTCCTTCTTTTCAATTGTCAGTGGCACAAAACAAGATAAAAATAGCTATTTTATCATAGTGCATTTCCATAGTCAGAGAGCTCTCTATTCCCTAAGCCCCATTAAAGCTCTCTCTCCTCCACCATTGGACCCTCAAAGTTAGGTAGTTGCTTTAGAGAATATTATGAATGTGAACACTATGTTGACATATCAAATACATTGTTATCATAACCCCAATGCGACTACTCGACGAAGATACAAATTATTTTATTTCTATTATTGGTTTTGGCTCTTTAGTAGTACTGTTTGTTATCTACTTTTTCATCATTTGAAGCAATAGAATGAATGAAAGGCCAGAAGCAAAAGGAATGGGTCTTCAAGTAATCATTAGGTCTCTTGAATTATAATATGAAAATCATAAATTTGAGTCATGAAAATATTTATTTTTATATTAAATAAGATTATTTGCACCATTTTCTTTCAAAATTATGTATTAATAGTAGCTTATTGCACATATTATGCTAAGATTTTTTCTTTTCTTCCTTTTTTTTTTCTTTATTGTTATGCTTAGGTAATATTAGAAAATATTAGAAATAATCTTTCTTTATTAGATTTAAATGAGAATTTGACTTTTAATAAGACACAATGGGGAAAAAAGATTCATGTAGCCGACTCCCACAGTGGGTTGAAGGCTTGATGTTGTTGTTGTTATTGTTGTTATCCTTAGATTGGGCATTCAATGTGTATTCATTTAGGTTTCTTTTTCGTGACATTATGTTGTCATTTGATGAAAATATAAGTATCATTATTCATTCTTATAGAGATGGCTAACTACTTTGTAGTTTTTTACGATTATAAAATTATAAAAGAGATGCACACGTTATAGTGCTTTCCATCAGGCGTTTGCTTAGCAATTTATATTGTGATTTTTTAAACGAAAAAAGCGATAACAAAATGAGGTGTATGATTTTGTTTGATTCTGCCTTTGTTCTACTTAATCTTTCAAAAAAAAAAAACTTTATTTTTATTTAAAATCATACTTGGAATGCATGTTCTTTAGAGCTATAAACTTAAAAAAAAAATCATGTTTTAATGCTATATGAAGACAACTTTACAAAGATAACTTTAGTTATTAATGTGCCTTTGGGCACCTTTTGTTCAAAGTTAGTTCATCTTCCTTTAGCTAATATTTATTTATTTGTCAATTTGGGATATTAGACAAGCTTTTTTCTTTGGTTGGAAAATTAGTTAGTAAAAAAATATTATATTAATTATAATAAACAACTAAATTAAATTATGACTAACTATAAAAAAATATTAATAATCATTTCATAAAACCTATTAATCAAATATGGTCATATTTCTCATAACCAAAATAGATACATAAGTTGTATACAAGAGGGTCTAAGGATGTGAAAATAAAGAATCATTTTTTTTTAATATTTAAAAATTAACATCAAGTAGTGGTTTCGTTTGGGATAACTTTTTTGTTACTTTCTAAAACATTTTTTCTAGTACAAAAATTTCTTGAATTAGAAAATTTTATACTAAAAAGTAGTTTTAGGAAGCAGTATGAAAGCTGTTCCAAACGAAGCCTATATTGAATTGTTAAGTAGACTTATACAAATTTTAATGCTCTATAGCTTATAGACGATAATTTGACTTGCAATACTAATTCAAATAACGCAGCTAATTAGACAGCTGAAACGCTAATCTTAATTATAAACAGATGAAATGCTAGCTAACTTATATTCTAACTTCTTGTCATTTCTTTCTCTATGTATGAGAGAAAATGTAATTGATAGAGAGGATATGAAAAATTGTATTGCTTATTTCTTTGTACTTCAAAATTTGCTTAGTAATAGTCCGAAGAAGCTACTATTTAATCAAGTAAAAATAGATACATAAGTTGTATATTATGGCTTCGTTTGGGACAACTTTTTTTTGTTGCTTTCTAAAACAACTTTCTAGTACAAAAATTTCTTGAATTAGAAAATTTTATACTAAAAAGCCGTTTTAGGAAGCAGTATGAAAGCTGTTCCGAACGAAGCCTATATTGAATTGTTAAGTAGACTTATACAAATTTTAATGCTCTATAGCTTATAGACGATAATTTGACTTGCAATACTAATTCAAATAACGCAGCTAATTAGACAGCTGAAACGCTAATCTTAATTATAAACAGATGAAATGCTAGCTAACTTATATTCTAACTTCTTGTCATTTCTTTCTCTATGTATGAGAGAAAATGTAATTGATAGAGAGGATATGAAAAATTGTATTGCTTATTTCTTTGTACTTCAAAATTTGCTTAGTAATAGTCCGAAGAAGCTACTATTTAATCAAGTATTAGACTAAAAGCATAAGAAGAGATGGTTTAGAATTTCATTACCACTATGGCCAAACTGACAAAGTGGATAAGTGAAGATGTTGCACTTAGATAAACCATCTCCATTTCAAGACCATTCTCATTTGCAAGCCATGTGTAAATATTGTAAGAAAAATCTTGGTTTTTATTCCAATCGAAGTAAAATCATAAGGGCGATCTTTTTTTTTTTTTGGACATTTAGGATAGTTAAGGCAAACTTATACATATATCAAATACACAAAACTCAAACACAAGACCTCTAGACTAGTAGCCAAAGCTTCGAACCAACAGATCAAATTGAGTTGCGTATGAGGGCTATCCTAGCGAACAACAATAAATTTCTCTAAGAAAGGTTAACTTTTATAATGTCATCGTTTCCAAATAAGTTTAACCATAAGCCATTTGGATACCGAGAGAAATGAGTGAAGTCTCATGCCCTAGTCCTAAAACTATACGTAGACTACCAAAAAATTATGTCACAACACATATTCAGTATTATTTTTTATATTTTTGAAATATGAATGAAAAGCATAAAATATACGACTTCTTTATTTAATCAATAGGCTACCGATGCTTTCACATCTATTGTTAATGTTCAAACCTTTGGGAATTAAAAAGCACAAAATCATTATGCAATAACATACAAAATAGAGAATCTAAGAAGCTAAAATCTACTGGCCAAAGAAAGGCAATTTGCCTTCCACTCATACAAAAAATGCCTAATTTTGACTTCGTTTGGGTTCGTTTTGGACAACTTTCTTATTGATTTTTAAAATTACTTTTATCATAAAAATTTCTTAAAAGCAATGAAAAAATATCGCCTAAAAGCTATCCCAAATGAATCCTTTATCTATAAGAGGTTGAAAGCACACTCATCTTACAAAACAATTTCAAGTTATTGGCTCTCCTAATGCATTTTGTTCAAGATTTATTGGTTTTTTCTTATAACAACAACAGTAGATTGCTGAATAACGAGCTCCTCTTTAAACATTTGCCCTATTCATTTATTTATCAAATGCAAGCTAAACACAACATAAACTTTAAAATATTATTCAAACTCATTACTTTTTTATCAAATTTAAACTGTAACAATTTTAATAAAATCTAACTAATTATTATTATTTATTAATAGCTTACAAAAATATTGTTTAATTACTATGTATAATTAGATTTAAAAACATTCATAAAATATTATTTAAATTATTTTGCAAAATTTATATATTAATAAAAAAAGGTAAGTCTACATATTCTCTGTCCAATTCAACAGAACCGAACCCCTTTTGACAGCCGCGTGAATGCTTCCACGTGCAGCAAACTAGGCGGACCAAGCGGATAAGTCGCCTGAGTGTGTAAACTCCAGACGAAGTCTGTTCGTAGTTGTGCAAAAGATCACATATGTGGGTGAAAACAAAACAACTCCAAATTTTGGTGTTCTATTTTTTCATAGCATTTTATCTTTCTTGTTTGTGTTTGCTGCGTGATTCACTTCCCCAACAACTCATTCACCTATAGTCCTAATGTTAATTTAGGATAGAGAAAAAGACAATGCATAATTGATAAAATACTTAGGAGTCAAAGAAAACATTATAGAAGTTCAAAAATAACAGCAATCAAACCATATGAAAAGCTTATTGACCCCTCAATAGAATCATAACATAGTAGCCATAAATAATTGAACACCACACGAATCAGTATCAAGAGAGAACATCAATGGAGTGGCATCTTCATTAAACATGGCATACATAGCTGGAATACCTGCACAGAATTAAGCTCCTGATGTCCTGAACTTGAAAGATATCTATGGCTTCTTCCAAAAAATATGAATATTGATGCTTCAAGAAGCTGTTTATTTTTGCAGTCGTTGTGCTCATTATTGCTATCTTTTGGCAGCTTCCATTCATTTGGTTTTCATTTAAACATCTGAAGCAGATATTCATGGATGTTAGTTTGTTTATGTTGTGATTCTTCATATCAAGAGCTAGAAAATGAATGACAGAAACATTCAAAAGGTTGAAACAGTAAATATATAATTAAAAAAACTACGAAAAGGGGAAAAAATATGAAAGATTGGAGCATGCAAAATGCAAAAGGCAAGGTTTCACTTCAGATGACAGCGAATCCCGCTAGGGGGCAGCGCCCCCTTGGATCCCCAACAGTTACTTATAAGTTTGCCCTCCCCTGAAAATTAAGACTGGTTACACCTCTGCTTACCCCTTCACCGCAAAGTGGTTGTTAAACCGATTCAAAACCAGACAATAATAGAAGCAATCTAACCATGGCTATAGGCCTTCCTTTGCATCATCAACAACTAGTAATATAAAACTTCTTACACAGTTGACCCATCATCACCAATGCATTAATCAACTCATTTAACTTCTCAATTGAAGGCAACTGAAATAGATAAAACCAAAATTAAGAGCAACAGCACCCTAGAAAAATCAGTGGAACAGCTACACCACACACACAAACAAACAAACAAAACTTACTGCCTGATAATACTTCAGTCGTGAAATTTTTAACATTGACACATTAGTGTGGACTAATGACTTATTTGAAAGTTGAAACCATCGTGACATGCAAATGTACATACATGTCAGGGCATATATCATCCATCACGTCACTACCTATGTCCATATCCAAGCATCCCATATCCCTACAAGATTGTTATCTCATCTACTGTGCTTAAAAAGGTAATGCCATTTTCTAAGCCAGATTCCTCTATCCACTAGCTTCGGCCCATTCATCCTCATATACGAGAGAACATAACTAGAAGCTAGTTGGAAGCTTTTAAGCAAATCTAGGTCTAATTCATGGAAAGAAATAGAGTTTCTGTGGTGCAAAGATAAATCATTAACCAGAATAAAATAACTCTCATATTTAAATAGTTTAACAGTTCGCATGCATTAAGAGGCTGTTTGGTATTCGAAATCCAGCCAAACAGCCTAAAATGCAAAACCAAATCATGGAAAATCAAAGTCGCCGTAGATGAAAAATTCCGCCTTTTCGTCGTAAATCCCGGATTTCGAAAATCCTCTCGTTCGGCATATTTCCGAAATCCTCTAGCTCTATTGCCGTCGCGGGAAGGAAGAAACTCCGTCCAAATCTTTCAACCTTCTTAAATCCTGAATGGAATAGCCAAACAGTCACATTGGATTTATCATGAAGGTTACCAAACAGTTTTCAGGATTCAACCCCTTCAAGATTTCATAAATCCGGATTTGAAGGATTTAAGAAATCCTACTTAAGTGAAATCCTAGATTCTGCTAAACAGCCTCTAAGCATACATCATCACGCTTATGCAGAAGTATGCAAAACATGTTTTTATTAAAGTGAGTTGTGAACATGATAACAAAGATATAAATCACAATAAAATTATGCAAAATAAAGGGATGCACAAGAAAGGTGAGGAAGTAATGTGAGTAGTACCATAATAGAGACCTCATTGTGTGATTAGATCCATCATCTTCCTGTGCTTCAGTGGCAGTCAATCCACCAGTTGGTTGGGGAGTTTTTGGAGCTTCAGTTTTGGAATCATGTAGTTCAGCTAATTTGTCAGGTGCATCTATACAGTACTTCTGTAGCCACCTATCAGTCTCCCAAAGAACATGCATGATGCTTTCTCTAGCCGAATAACCATGACTCTCAAATGGTAGAATCACCAAACGACAGAGTGTTCCATGGCCCTTTAACGCATTAAAGAAGCGATCTGACTGCAGATTTGCAAACCCGAAACAATTACGTTAAACAAAAACTGAAAATTATATCAATTGATGCTTCATAGTTATAAAAGATGGATGCTAGAGGACAGCTATATCTGTTTCCTGCACTTTCTGGACCAGGGGACATCTCAAAAGACCACCCAATATGCCATTTGATTAATATCAAATTCTTTAAGAATTTCACACTTTATTTTTGAACTACTCCAAACAATAGTAGAAAAAAATTGGGACATGGAAATAGCATTGTATATGCCACTTTTTTTTTTTTTTTGTATATGCCACTTGAACCTAATAATGTCCAAAACTCACTTTCTCCTTATCTACATCTTTTTTCTCTCCCTTACCAATCAATCACATGACAAAGCAATAATGTTCTGAGTTGTGCATTTACTGATCAGTGGTCTGTGATCTACAAATCCTAAGTTTTCTTGTATGATAAGCATGCATTGCACCATACTAAGGAAACTTTAAGTCTAACTTAACTAGCATAAAATTGATATCAAAGCTTATAATTGTATGATCATGTCAACTAATTATAGGACAAATAACTTGGCAATCAAAAGATTCAATCAATAATGCAATTTAAATGAACTAAAGTAGGTCACGATTATGTCCAAAAATAACATAACTATCATGAAGTTCAATATTATATGACAAACTTGTGAATATTTAAGATGGGTCAATAATTTGGAAGATATTTTTTTCATATTAGCATTTATTTAATTTTGAAAAAAATTAAAATTTTAAAACCAAATTAGTGAGACATGCTTAATTGTTTTGGTGAAGCATTCTAAAGTGAATTAAAATCAACATGAATTGGCATGAAACTGATACGCGAGGGCAATTCTGCCCTCCTTGTGGAGCCCATTAAACCTATCATTACATATGTGAGAAGAGGAATTAAGAAAGGGATTAATTAGGAGATGCATCCTAATTAAAAAGAGCTAATTTGGGGGCTGATATGAAGGAGATTAATTATGAGGTATTTCCTAATTAAAAATGACAGATTTGGGGGTTCTATTTAATTATGAGATATTTCATAATTAGAGAGGGATGATTTAGAGGTTGGGACTGATTTGAGAGGAAATTGGGGGAGGGTTGTTTTGGAATTTGTTGTTTTATTTTAATTTGATATAAGTAGTAAGATTTATATTATGTTTGTATGAAAATTTGGATTTAAGAGTGTTGTAGTATTCTTTTTGTGAGGGGTCCAAGCGGCGTTTAGGGTTTGAGAGAGAAGGCCCTCCTCTCAAAAGGGGACCATTGAATCTTGCTTTGTTCGTATTTGGTTTTCTATCAATAAAAATCTAATTTTGTGTTGAATTTCTTTGGAATTTGTTGCTATTTTTTATACCAAGGCCCATCAAATTGGTATCAGAGCCGTGTCCTGGACAAAATCACAATTCTCTACATTGCTTTTTGTTGCGTACTTCCTCCCCATTGCTAATTTTTGCTACTTAAAAGACCATAGTCGTTGATTTTTGTTGTTTTTTGCAATTTGGAACTTACATCCGTGAATGGCAGCAAAGTAGGTTGATGCGTTGGAAGGGTAATGGAGCAACTCAAATCTGAGATGGAGAAAGATTTTCAACTCTAGAAAATCGGATGGAGAGACGATTGGGAGGGATGGAAGAGATGATAAAGAAGCTCATGAAAATTCAATCCAAAGCCCCACCGGCAATTCTGATTGCTAACCCTCAACACGATTTGATCGGGGTTCCCTTGGCCGAATCGAAGGGAAAGGAGATCGAACGGGAGAAGTTCGACGAGGCAAGTTTTTTTCATAGAGAACCACCCCCCCGGGCTCCGAGAATGGGCGGATCAGGGTTTCCGAATGGAAGTACAGCAGGAAGAAAGTGCTATGGTGGGATTTATGGAGGAGGTGGTAGGACGACCGACCACTAAGGGAGGTTGCTTGGGCAAGGGGAGTAGACAACCAGAGAGGGAGGTGGACGAGCTAAGCCATGGGGATCGGGTCATGGAAGGCAGATGAAAGAAAGGTGGGATTGCCACCCTCGATATAAGGGGGAACTATCTACAAGAGAGAAAGTTGGGGTGAAGAAGCAAAGGTGAGGAAGCTGAAGATGCCGGTGTTCGAAGGGGAGGATGCCCATGGGTGGGTATACCATGTTGTGAGGCATTTTGCGGTGAATAGGTTAAGAGAGGAGAAGCTTATAGTCACTGCATTATGTTTGGAGGGGAAAGCTTTAGTTTGGTTCTAGTGGAGAGAGGCTAGATATCTGATTCGTTCATGAGAGGAGTTTAAGGATTGTTTGTTGGAACGTTTCTGAGCCATTGGGGAAGGAGACCTACACGAGCAATTCCATGCCTTGATATAGGAGGGAACTGTCATGGAGTACAAGGAGAAGTTTGAGTTGTTGTCAAGGAGGTTGAGGGGAATTTCGGAGGCAGTATTGGAGAAAAAATCTATGAAGGGCCTCAAGCCCCATGCACGAGCGGACCTTCGATTGTTGAAACTGAGGGGGTTGAAGGAGCTGATGGAGCTAGCACAGATAGCAAATGATTGAAGGTGGATGGAGAGAAGCAATAAGAGCGGGGTTACGGGAGGTTTTTACAGAAGCACCTCAACTTCATTGACGCCAAGGACCCAGACGGTATAATTTCAACAGCAAGCACCGACGGAGAAGGGGGGGGGGGGGGGAGTTCGCCATGGGGCCAATTTCAAGTGCCTCACAAAGCCAGAGGCGCAAAACAAGAAAGAAAAAGGTTTGTGTTTTCGCTATAATGAGAAGTAAGGATTATGTTATAAAACCCACTTTTAGGAAACTTCCAAGCTGTAAGACATACCCAAACAATTAAATCCCTGGACAGCCTTATTGTAGACCTAGATTGAAAGACCAATCTTTGGACAACTCATAAATAGAGCTCTAAGTCTCACTCCAACTAAAACTTATAGGCAACCTCTAAGGGGGCCGTGAGACCTGTCAACCAAATTTAAATAATGAGAAGCCTTGCTGTAGAGCCAACTTGTAAAACCCACAAATGGGTTATTTCTAATAGAAGTCGTAAGAGATACTTTACGGGATACTTTCAATAAAAGTCGTAAGTCTGAACCCAAATTTAAATACCTGGGCTACTTTTAAGAGAAATCGTAAGGCCCTCTTCAAATCAAACTTCTGTGTAACTTCTAAACAAAGTTATAAATCCCCAAACCAAATCGACTACCGAGTATTCTAATAGATGTAAACCCCAAAATCTAATAAAACTAAAATCCACATCTAATGACCTCAATCTACTTGGGATCCCTGAGAGGAGGCAACCTATGGCTGCTAATCAGACTCCCTGGACACTACGGTTAATGATTGTTAGTGTTAGTAGACTGAAACCTATGGTATACCCGGGACGACGGAACCATGGGATCTTGATAGGGTTTACCTCCATTTTTCCCATAATTGGGACTAAAATACCTAAAATTTATTCATCCTTAATCGAGAATTCTCTCTTACATGTTAAAAGTGGTAATTAACTATGAGTGCTTGTGCTTATAGGAAGTAAGGACCCATATGTAATTAAACCCTGACACAAATCAAGGAAAATCTGGTTAACTACAATCTGACTCAAGAAAGATGGAATCCTATATCTGTAAAGTGGGATGCATGCCTACACACCATTTTTCTTGAGCCAACAGTCACTAATTGTGCATTTCTGGCTATGAGAGTTGACTTGAGAACTTTGATTACTCATTTGAATGATTATAATATGTGGTTGCATTGATGTAGGGCTTATATTTCTATTATTTCATATTTAGGTTTTGTATAAAATCAAGTTTGAATTTGAAGGTAATCAGGAATTAAATTGGATTGGTCTTTCACTAATAATATCTATTAATTTAGTGAAGAGGAGTCCATAAATTGATGATATGAGGCATGCAATTAAATAAATTTGATCAACTAAAATTTCATATTGTAGTTTTTAATCTTGCATGCAAGTTGAATTTATGATTCATTCAACATGATACAACAGTTGTAAAATCCAAAAATGTTGATCGTAAACATCGCACGCATTTTGATGCACTGCGACGAAAATAGACAAATTTTTTAAGTTGTCAAAATTTGATAAAATAATTTTTATAAAATTTTACATAAAATTTCGAGCGATTTGGTATAAAGAAACTAGGGCTAATTTTACATGATTTTGAAATTAAAAAATCAACGTAGGTTATTTAAGGCCAAATTACTAAATAGCCCTTCTAATTCTTCATGAAGCAAAAGCATGCAAGGGGGACATGCATCTTTCGGCCCCAACCGCCCAAACCGCCTATAAGGGACCAAAATCTTTCGGTCCCTTTCATTCCTTCGTGCCTCCTTATCCGGCCGAACACAAGAGAGGGAAAGAGGGCGGCGGCGGTTTCTAGTAGCCCTTTTTGGAGGAAGGTGAAGAGAAAGGCTTAGGGAGAAAGAAGGTAATTTCCTAAGCAAGGATTTCCTCCTTTTCTCTTAGATTTCTGAAGATAAAAAGTTTAGGGTTTATACAAAACTTAAAATTTTAAAAGAAAAACGTATAAAGAAGATTTAATGATGGATTCTAACCATAAAATTTAAGTTTTCCCCAAAATTATCAGATTTCTATAAAATAGGGTTTTGCCCAAAATTCATATTCTTTGAAAATTCCTTAACGAATGTTGTTCCAAATAGTATTAGGAAGATTTTAAGAGGTAAAAATTAGGGTTTATCACAAATTTTCATTTTTCCTAAATTTTTATTTAAGAAAATCTGAAAATTATTATGCCTAATAATTATATGGAGAAAGGGGAAGATTTTAGCATAAATTAGTGATGGAAATATGGAAAATTAAGTTTTCAAATTTAGGGCTTTAGGATAAAACCGAAAATTAAAGCTATTTGAAATTAATTTAGAATTAGGTAAATTATGAATTTAAATAATAATATGAATTTTTAAAATTTAAAATATAATTAAATCTGAAAATAATTACCTTATAATGACGATTATAATTAAGAAAATGTTAAAGTGAATTAAAGATTTATGTTAATGATAAATGACAATTGATAAATATTATAATGATATTCATGTAGGTCTTAATGCTAATGACAATTAAAAATTAGGATTAATGTTAAACTGCATGACTTGTTCTTTTAATAAACATTATTTAAGGTTTATATGGGATAATCGAAGTTACATTATTTGTAGGATTTCGAAGTGGGAGAGGAAAGACATTGAAAGGAAAATAATAAATTTTACATGTTCGTTAGATAGGTTACATTTAATTCTCAAAATTCAATATTGTTTATACTATTTTAAAGTTAAATACAATGTAATACATTTTAGCATTAGAATAATATGTTAATTATTTTATTTGACATGTCAAAAGTAATTATTATTTTGTTTAAAGTATTTAGTAAGTTCCATGTTTTTATTAAAAAAAAGAATCTTCATATAACCATGCATAAGAATATGATAGATAAAAGCAACTGATTGTTATGTATGTTAGTCATATATCTTATAATAATTATTACATGTGGCTTTGTGCATGTTGAGGCGAAGTACCAATATAGTGTCTTGGTACAATATGACTCTTTAGAGCAATATGGTTCTTCGGGCAATATGATAAAGAAAAATGATATGACCAATAAGTATGTATATCCGATCAGTATAATTTCGGTAGTACGATACGAGTGTATAAAATACAAATATATATATATATATATATATATATATATATATATGTACAGAAAATAAAGACAAGTTGAAAAGCATGAAATGAAAGAAGTATTAAACTTATGAAATGTAAAATGATCATAGGAATTCATTAAGAGATAGGTGTACGACTATCTTTACATGACATCATATTGTTTACTTTTTTAGTTACATGTTGCTCAGTCTCATATTAAAGGATGCATATTGATCTTCGTTACATTGTAATTGAATTTGATAGATTTACTTGTTACCTGCTGAGTGTTAGCTCACTCCTTAACTTTGAGATATTTTTAGGAGAACCACTATTTAAGGATGGCGGATAGGTAGCAGTATACCTACTAGCATAGGATTACCAGGGGAGATAGGTTCTTTTGTTGAATGTACTTTTGATTTTTCTTTTTGTTGTGGATCTCACATGTCTAGTTATGATCCACATGTGTAAATTTTTTATAATATAATATAATTTTTGTGTTGTGGAAGTTTTAGTGGCTCTTTATAATTGTTTTGGATGTTAGATATGTTAATATTTACGAGATGATATCTGAATTATGTTTTAAATTTTTGTTTGAAATCTATTTCCACCTTATTTACTCGAGCTTACTGGGCCGGATCGTGACAAGAGTGAGATAAGAATTTCTTACTTGGGTGACTTCTTTCCTTGTCATAATTTATTCTGTATATATTGTTATTGGCTTACTAATATTTCAGATTTTCTTTTAATTTCATACAACTAGGAATAGAATTATTATTAAGGTGAATAAATTGTTATTATTAATTAATTTTGTGGTCAAGTTTCTCACTAACTTCAAATCTACTCGATTATTACATTATTATTTAGCTTCTATTTCTTGTATTTACTAATTTGCATCTAAATGAAGTTGTTTGTATATTTAGTGATTTGTCAGCTGTAAATTATCAGTACCTTCCATGATTTACATATATTGCTTTATACTAATTGCATCAAGAAAATCAAACCCGAAACCTTATAATGAAGGCACTTGGAATATCATATAAAAAGATAAGGCACATGCAACGCCTGTGTATATAAGCTATTAGATGGCAAGCATATGGAGAAAGCAAAACATTTCCCTTCCTCTATGAGAAGTTCTACATTGTTTGAAACAAGTTATAAGGCCACCATAAGTAACATTAGCTGGCAAAAAAGAGTAAGGAACAGTTCATTCAAACATTCTAATAAAAAAAATCCTAAAAGAACAAAGAAAAGAAGCCTTTCATTACCTGCATTGTCAGTGTTCCTGAATTATTATCCTCTTCTCCATGGATTAGCAAAAGTGGCTTCTTGATTTTGTTTGCTGACATGAAAGGGCTCATCTCAACATATGTGTTGATAGCCTCCCACAACGTTCTGTCTTCATTCTATATCAAAATTCTAATCAGTCATTATGCGGAAATTCAGAGAATAAAATAAAAAACTGAATGGCACATACATTCTACTATTGCAGAAAAGGAGCTTCGAGGGAAGAGAGGGTGAAGCAAAGTGAAAGAAAGTGGGTATGAAACAGGCAGGGCCTTCAAAATAAAGACAAATTTAAAACCTGAAATCCATAAGGGGTGAGTGTCCTATTGTATGCCCCAGACCGAGCAATTCCACAGCAGAAAAGATGGGGGGCATGGGCAAGAAGATTAGCTGTCATGAATGCCCCATATGAATGACCTCCAACAGCAATTTTGTTTGGATGAGCCACCTAAATAAATTAGCAAGCATAACAACTTTAGATTAGCTTATACAAATGAATGAGTTCTTTGATTAGTACCAAATGAATGATTATCAAAGAATCATCCTTTGCTAAAATGAAACTTCTAGCGCATGCAAAAATCTATTTGACTGATGCTTTAACTAAAGAAGAAGGTTAGAAAGACACCATCTTACATGGGTAGAAATTTAAGGAAATGCTATGGGTTAAGTACTGTCCAAGAAACCGTAATAAAAAGCTCCGTGAATAATTAACGACCCTTAGATAAGGCAATATACAAGTAGTAGAATATATGAACATCTATGAGGATTTTTTTTTTTTTTTTGGATATTTAGACCAATTAAGGCAAACTCACACACACATTGCATACACAAAGACTCGAACCCAAAACTTATTAGTTGATAGCCTAAGCTCTCAACCAACAGGCCAAGGTGAGTTGTGTCATAATTTGAGGATTTGATAAATAAGACCAACCACATAGATCGGGAGCGAAAATTACCCAACAAGTTTATTATTGATCTTAAGTGTGAGATTAGATATGTGGTTGAGCTATAATACCCTTAGACCCTTAAGGATGATTTTCGTTTTCACATGCAAAACAAATTTTCATTTCCGTAGGAAACAATTCAAGGCGCACTTACCCCTCTCCGTATAACTTCCTCAACGGCAGCCTCTGCACTTGAAACCAACTGTTCTACATACCTGTTTAAAGTATTAAGTACATAATTTTACCAACTGTTCTACATGCCAGCTTAAAATAATATTACGTAAAGCTGTTCGCATAAAACAATCTCTAGGAAACTACAACAGCAGTATAGTTTAAAATAATAAACAACCGTGGCAAAAAAAATTACCGATCATTTGCCTCTTCATCACCTTCGCCAATGATAGGAATGGTAGGACCAGACAATATAGCAAAGCTGCATGAAAGAAAGCACTCAATTTACGACAGAAAACAAAATGATGTAATAAGATTGGATTCATTATAGAAATAAAAGGAAGAAGAAAGTAACAACTTAATAAAATATCAAATTGGGAATTTGCAACTAGCCCTAAAAATCATTTCCTGAGATATTTCTGAGGAGATAAAAGGAGTAGAAAGTAGAGAAGTTTTTTGGGAGCTAGATCTCAATTAAATGTTGAAATGTTTCCTAGCAAAGCCTAAAGCATGCACTCGTGAAGCATCAAGGCTACAAATGAACCGAGCATTCGATGAGCTACTCATGGCTCGACTTGATAAGAACTTGTTCATGTTTATCAAACTTGAACACTTTTGATAAATACTAGATAGCTAAATAAATGAGCTTGAACAACTTGGTGTTCGGTTCATTTATGTTCATGAACAGTATCGTTTAACGCTCATTAAGAAGCTCGATTAGAACTATATTAAAGTTTTAAAAATATATAAATTGTTAAATTTAATAATTTATTTTTACTAATCCCATCTAAAATCGTTTAATATCTGACAACCTTTCGGAGCCCCCTCCGCTCACGGGGAGGTTGGGGAGGGCACTTGCCCTTTTGGCTCGGCGCGACCGGATTAAATCAACGGCAAGGAGATTGGGAGAGCGAATTGATCCCATAAAAAGTCTTCAAGTCTTCAATCCCTCGACCGAATCAGATCGACGGCCAAGGGATTCGGAGGACCGAATCAACACCAGGACTTCCTTCAAATCTTCTCTCCTATTGCGGTATTATTTGATCGAGTTATTTAATTTCATTTTAAAAAAAAAATTATTCCCCTCGAGAATCTAGCAGCCTTCCGGCACTCCCTCCCCATGAGGGGAGGTTGTGTAACGCCCCAAGATCTAATTTGGAAAGAATTTCAGTCAATCCATTAAAATCATTAATCATTTACCAGAGCTATCTATACTCTTCAATCAATAGCAAACAATTTAACAAAATTCTATAATTTAAAACATCAATATACAATTCTATTCATATCCCAAAAGATCATAAACAATACTCAGGTTCTACACAATAATCACATGAAATGAAATCTATTCTGTCCTGAGTACAAAAGAATCACTATAACCTAAAAAGAACAAAAACCTGAGGATCTCTGATCAATCTCAATCTCCTGCTCCCATGTCCTGACCTGAAAATATTAACCACATATAATAAGCTTCAAAAAGCCCAGCAGGTCACCTAAAACCTACAACTGAAATCAAAGCACGGTGCTGAAACAATATGCATGTCAGTCAATCAAATCCATAACAGTCAGTTGCATATAATCAGTGAATCTATGCAGCAAATACGAAAATCAGTAATCAATGCATGATCGATAAAATCCATAGTCAGCGGTAGAAGCATCGTTAAACAGTAGAAAGAAATCCATAACACTAAATCTCGGAAGAATCCAGTCAAATCGATAGAGAAAAATCGTCGTCTCGATAATATCAGTTAAATCAACATCGTATCAATGGAATCAATCAAATCAATCATCTCTAGTCAAAAACATCAATCGGTATGAAATCATATAAAATAATCAAATCAATACAGTAAAACTTATTCCATATTGATCAATGAATCACATGCAGCAGTTCCATACGGTATATCAATGAAGCGATAGTATCAATGAATCAATACAATATCAATATCCATATCAATATCAGTATCTTTGTACAGTGACACGTACAATATGCAGTATCAATGAACCGACAATAACAGTAAACCCGTAAATCCGTCAGTAAATCCATTCGTCAAGAAATCAATCCAATACATTAAATCCGTCGATATCAATAAATTTATAAATCCATTCAAAATCAATAAATCCGTCGGTATAAATAAATGCATACAGTAATCAATAAATCCATAATGAGATCATAAGAACAGTACTTGCACAAGCCATACAATACCATAGTCTTACTCGACAAGTACAATCACTGGCTATTAAGGCGTTTTTCAAAGTCGATAATCCATTGTGTTGTTGTACAAATCCATAAATATATCCATATATCCATATATCCATATCCATATCCATATCCATATCCATATCCATATCCACATCCATATCCATATCCGTTGGCTCAATAAGAGTCGTCACTCTGTGCCCGTCGGCTGAAGAATCTCCAACCAACGGTTCAACCAGTCTGCACTTGTCTTTCAGTAACAATAACAATAATTCAATCATATTTTCACATTCGTATGCATATTCAATCATTCAAATCATCAATTCAGAAAATCAGATGTCGTATGAGAAATCGGCAGCATAACGTCAGTACACGGAATGTACACAGAAATCACAAATTCAGAAATTCACCAAATTACCAGAAATCGAATAAAACAACGTTTCAAAGCTTTACTTGTACTGAAGCAACATTTTTCAACATCCTGATAATTTTCTATTCGATAAAAATCGCACAGAACTCAAAATAACCGGTAGAAACTTTACATAAAATACTCAAATCGTG